ACACACACACACACACACACAAATATATGATTCTTATACAAAAGAAAACATGCACCCCCTCTGAGCCCCATTTATTGCCTATGGCGGTGCATGAGGCTCGACTTGCAGCAGAAAAAGTGGGCAAAACGAGTCAGGTAGGTTGTTTGTGTGTGTGTGTGTGTGTGTGTGGGGGGGGGGTGGCAATACCTAACAAAAGGTTTCAGAGAGCTACGAAGAAAAAAAGCTGTTAGTTGCAAGCAGTACACAGCTCTGAGCATGTGGAGGGTGGCAAACGGAAAAAAACGTTGCATTAATCTTGTTGGGAAATGTTACTTCTTCAGAATTGCATCAAGAGCAACACACAGCATGACATGGCAACACAGAGGATGTCCAACCTTTCACTGTGGCTTGCATTAGAGAAGAAGCCGGAATAGCCCGTAAGGTTTTCCACACTGGTTAAAAAAGATTTGAGGAAGGAATGAGAGATCAGAGGAATTACCGGCAAGTTCACACCGTTTCGTGTTGATTAGTGTGATTACTGGTTTGATCATGCGAGTTATAATCATAATAAATAAGTTCTAAGAATCACAAGTCCACCATCAAATATTTAATCATCAATTTAATCAATTAAAAAATAATCGAGATAGAGAAAAGTGCGACATTGTTCTTGCAGGATACTCGTTACTTTTCTTATAAGACACGTTTTTGATCTGGTTCCTTATCACCTTTCTGATCTCAATCCTCCCTCACCTTTTCTCAATGGCATCGATGTTCCTAAGGAGCAATAAAACCTGCCGGGAGTCACTCTCCTCCCTGTCCGAGAAGAGCAGGTGGTGGCCGGTGATGCACAGGGTTCCTCTGCTCGGGGGTTGCAGCGGCTGTCGGAGCACAACATCCTCCACATTGGCCGTCTTGATGTGCTCAGCAAACTCCATCAGCTCCCCTTCAAACACCCAAAGTCCGTCTGCAGAACTTTGTTTCTGTTCTTTCTAAACTACAGAAGTGGCCGAGCACCTCAATCACGTCCTCGCCTCTCTTGTAAGAAAACGAAAGCGGGCTTCCTCCTCTGCACGCACAGCTGGTTGGACAGCGTTGCAGCCGCGCTCTGTTTGATTGGCGATAAGAAGTCTATAAATAGAAGAAGCTTCATATTTTCCTGAACATTGTCGTCCTCTTATGTGGCTACACCTCTGCACACACAGCTGGCTAAGCTTAACTGCCGTGGGAGTGGAAAATGTGCTGCTTTAGGCGACAAAAGGCGGAAGTCTACGTTTCCTGAGACAGTGAGTGAGAAGTGACACTTATCACAACTTGTGCGCACTGCAGAGAGGGGGGGG